ACATTTTAATTTCCATATTCTCAAAATTTCTGGAAACTGTTTTAGCTAAATCCCAAGACTGTGGAATCATGCAGACTGGATTTGAACTCTAAATCCACTAACTCATGCTATGTGACCTGTACACATTACTTAGTTACTGAATGCCTAAATTTTCTCATCTGAAAAATTAGACAATGACAGATACTTCCTTAAAAAGTTAGGATGAGAATAACTTACATTTCATAAACACAAACACACTTGTTGTTGTTGTTACTGATGTCAAACTGTTCTGGAATAAGAGGAAACAGCATAATTCTTTATATGTCTTCAACAATATTCTTTTTAAGTAATACTCCAAGCCTCTAGGAGTTCTCACAAAAAATACAGGCCATAGATATAGAAAACCTTGCAGTATTGTTATCAAGTAGACTTTATACTTCTCATACAATTTAATATCAGGAAACAGAAGATCTATGCAAACTCATACAAACAGTTTTAATTAGTTAACTGAGAGATTAAAAAACAAATCTTCACACAGTGTACACTGGTTGCTTGTGTTGGCTTAACAATGTTAAGCAAGAAATGTCTTTATTTAGTAAGGAGAATAAATTATCTTATCAGCAAGTATCAGAACTCCTCTTGGAGAACTCTCCTGACAAACAACTTGGGGTGGAAATTCAGATCCTCAGAGATGAGCTAGCATGAGATGAGGACACAGTCGAGATTAGAAGTGAAAAAGACCTAAGAAAAGAGAAGGTATAGCAGAGTTTATGACAGAACAACAAAGTGACTTTTAAGAAGAGGACCCAATGTGAAATTTCATGGGTTTTATTTCATTTAATTTTGCAACATAACAAACTCACACACACCACACACATACACACACACACACACACACACACACACACACACACACACATGCACATATCCTATCCAAAGCTTCAGTAAAGTCAAGTTACAGATGGAAAGTTCTCTTATTTTTTATCTATTTATTTATTTGCTTATTTACCTTTTTCAAATTTTTATTTTCTGATAAAAATCAACAAAAGGTAAGTTCCACACTTGCCTTAACATGTTTGGGGCAGGGACAACCTGTGAGGAGAGGAAGCTGTCTTTTCAGCAGAAGCAGGCTTTTTTTCCCCAAGGGTGAGCCTTACTGGAATATAAGCCTGCCTCCCTCTCCTATTCACCAAAACCCTCCACACTGGGAATTTTCAGAACAGCCAATGTATACTCAATGTTGCTAGTCACTGTCTTCCTTTCTCCCCTCCTCAGACCTCTTCATTTTCTCTTAACCACACATGCCAGGCTTTTGCTCTAGTACTGTTCCTGTCAAGGTCACTGGTGACCTTCATTAACCTCAATGGTCAATTTCTTTTTTAAAAATTATTGTTGTGCTGGGTGGGTGTAGCTTTTACAAAGGTTCTTACAATGTATCAAATATATCATACTTGAACTCACCCCCTCCACTGCTCTCCTTCATCCTTCCTCCCCTGATTCCTGGAACAGTTTCAACAGGTATCATTTCTGTATTTACATTATTTTAATCCTATCTAACTTTACCATAACTGATTAATTGATCTTTTTAATGCTTTCTTCACTAGCTGCCTAAACCACCATATACAACCAGTTTTCTTAAGGCCTAGTCCAACAAGTCTGTCCCAGTAGCTTTCAGTGGCTCCTACTCTTTCTAGCCTCTAAACATTGGACCAGTACCTTTTTGCTCTTTTCATCTGCTCTTACACCTTGGTACCCTGTGCAGCCACATAGCCTACGTATCACAATATACTTGTAAATGTATACCTCTAGCCAGATTACTCAACCAAACTCCGTACTTATAAATTCAACTGTTCACTTGAATTTCCTGCAGACATCCAAGTGCCACCTAGGTATTTTAATAGGCACGTCGGTCTCAAAGTTATCTCCTTCCGTAATCTTTTCATTTCAGTAAATGGCAACTCCATCCTTCTATAGAGGCCAAATATCTTGGAGTCACCCTTGCTCTGTCACATCAGACATCCTATACATCAGTAAATTCTGTTGCATCTACTTTTAATATGCATCCAGTGTGAGATCACTTCTAACTACCTCACTATAAATATCCCTACAACTATTTTTGCCATAGCCTCTGCCCCCACATTGGGGTCTTTCAACATTGACACTATTGTCAGTTTGGACAACATTTTATGCATTTGAGGATGTTTAGCAGACTAAATGCCAGCAGTATACACCCTACTCCCCTCATCCCAAGTTGTAACAAACAAAACTGACTCTAGACATGCCCAAATGCTCCTGGGGGGGGGAAATCGTTTTCTCCCATCTCCTATAATGTTTTCTCAACCGAGTCATAAGAATGACCGTTTCCTAGACATACCATATTATATAATGATAATACCTCTGCTCAAAATATACCAGTAGATTTCCATTACACAAAGAAGAAAAGAAAGAAAAAATGGAAGTGCTTACCACAGCTTGCTAGCTCTGTATGATCTACTGCCCACCCTTCACACCTACTTCTTACCCTTTTATTCACTTTGCTTCAGATACACTTGCCTCTTTGCTGTTCCTCAAATAAAATGGGAAAACTCTCAAATCTAGGGACTTTGTTCCCTCCTCCTATGTACTGAGTCTATCCATTGGACTCAGCCTTTCATGCTTTGAGTTCTTCACTCAAATACTTCCCAATGAAACCCATTTGAAAAGCTCAGCCCCTTTCCTGTGCCTCATCTATCATTGCACACTTCCTATTCCTCTGCTCTAGCTTTTTAAATGGTAATTATCTCCAACTGCTAATCTATCCATTTTACTTATTACTTTAATGTCTGTCACCACCTAAGAAAATATAAATTCTATTCTCTTAGGGAGGGAGGATTCCCATCTATTTTATTCACTGCTGCATCTGCATCTCAAGGAAAAGTGCCTAAGACAGGCACTCTGCTTATAGAACTAATTGGGGAAGGCAACAGGGGTACAATAGGTCTTGGAAAGCATTTTAGACAAATTTAAAGGTCAATGCAGCCTCAGCCTATATCTAGGCTACATCTACAGGCATTATTAACAAAGACTGAGTTGGTTTCCAAAGAATTTATTTAAAATATAATTCATAATATACAATGGAAAGCAAGGATTTATCAAAATGCTACTGTGCTATGGGCTTTTATGTAAAGGGTATTTAGAAAGCATACTTATAAACCCATTAATGGATGTATATGTCTAAACATCTGTAGACATATAGACTAAGAAAAACTTTAAGAGTATTTTTACAAAGTACCATGGACTATGGTAAATCACCTAGATATATAAAAAGGAATGTACTGAGTAAGTCAAATCACTCAATTATATACACCATAAGGTAGCTTAACAAGTAATAGTAATGGTGAACAAAGCTCTTTTCTGCACATGAAAGCCTGCGTGGTTCAATTGTGAGTGAAATAGAGGAACAGAAATGCTTCCTGCTGCAAGCCGACAGTTACATGGAACCCCCTGAAGTTATAAATTGAGTTCCTCTCCTAATTACTGGTCTGAAAGGGACACAGAAAGATCCACATTTTATTTCTCTTGCTGAACTAGAAACATAAGAACTTGTGAATTTTACATTAGGGTCAAGCTGGGACGTTCCCAGCCAGTTTCACCTGGAATAGGTAATAGTGCTACCTCCTATGCAAATGAGATCAGGTATTCCTTTCTGCCTTTGGTGACTACCAGGGAGGTTTCAGTGTAACAGATTCTAATAGGGAAGTAGATGCGGAAAGAAAAGAGAACAAGCAAAACAGATCCTACTTGAAATAAAATTTTGTCTATTGATTCTAAAGTGCATATTTCAAAACGGCCTTAGAATTTTGTAATACAATTAATTAAAATTGTATGCCATACCCATAGAAAATAATATCAACTATTCTTTATACTTTCTGAACTAACTACTCATTGTAAGAGCAATAAAGTTACACAGCAGCCAGGTACTTTAGTGAAATAGGCCCAGTTCTCAAGGGAGGAAAACATGTGGTTCAAACTAACACTTTTGATCAAGCAAACACTTTATTCTTCCCTATGAGAAATACCTTTCATACAGATTCTGAACAAAATTGTTCTTGGGGAAAAAAAGGATGGAGAGGAGTATGAAGGAATCAAAAGACTGTTGTGATACAATGTCTTAAAATAGCCTTTCTGAGAAGGAAAAGTTATTTCAACATTTTAACATGTTTGTACACTTTCTAATGTCCTGAAATGGCATAGTTCACTCCCTGGCAAAAACAAAAGCATCATTCAAGTCAGGATAACAAATTAATCAATATATTTATCTGACCAGCAATTATCAAACATATTCCTTTAACAAAAGGAAGGAGAAATGAAAAAACATTCACAGAGAACACAGTATCTATGGTTAACAGTTTCTCTTCTCTCGTCTTATTATTCCAGTGACTATAACTGTGTCCTATAATTACAAATGAACAAAAAAAATCTAAAGGATAAATAATTCATTAGGATCTGATATCTGAGGCTAGGGATGTAGCTCAGTGTTAAAGCCCTTGCTTAACATGTACAAGGCCCTGGGTTTGATCCCCAGCATTGCAAAAACAAAGGAAAATCTACATAAAATATTGAATAGTTCTTGCAGTCATCAAGTCCTAGTTTGAAATCCCTGCACCTTCATTTACTGGCTGTCAACCCCCCTATGTGGAAAATGTCCTGAATGCATTTATCTGTATGGTAACTGTGATGATTAAATGTGATATTGGCAAGCATTCCTCCATATAACGTGTTCAAGTGTAGTTACTGGGATCATTTTTGTGGTCTAAATTTACATAATACCCTTCTTAGTTCCCATGAGCACTTACTGGCAAGACTTCAGAAACACTAAATCTTGTTTCACCTCTTCAGAAGAAATTATTTTTTTGTGCTCATCGTCTCTAAAAATATAAGCCTCTGAATTTTCATGCTTCTGTATGTCTCAAATAAATGCATGAAGAAGAAATTCCACTTTTCAGAAGCCCTTCCAATAAAATAACCAAGGAAATTCTTACCTAGTTTTGGCAAGGAATAGGGCACTTTAAAGTAGTCTTCATAAAATTCTATTAATCTCTTTGTAATATGGAGAGCATAGTCCCCGGATCCTCTTCTGATAGCATCAGGTCTTGCATATAATCGTACCTAATTAAAAATATATATAAAAGTTACTTTAGCCTTTTGGTACTGGAGTTTTATCTTCCGTGCAAATATGAATCTATGCAAATCACTTCAGATATTACAAAAATTAAATAGGATTCTTGTTCACATATTAAAGCATGCTGTGGCTGAAAAAACCAAACTTAAACAACTGAAGTAACCAAGTTAAGCAAGTCACACTTTCCTCACTTTACAAGATGACGTAGAGATTCATATGCCTTGCATCAAAATAAATATTCGAAGTTATCACTTCCATGTGCTACTGGAGATAGGAAGGTATGGTGGATTAATATAATGATTCCCTGGCTATGCTGAAATTAGGCAGGATATGGTGGCTCAGTAAGAGAAAAGATTCATTTTTGGGGGGAGTCTACTGTCCTTATTCCCAATATGCAAAGTAAAGATAGAAAACTTTTCAGGTACATAAGCAATCACCATATCACCAATCTGGATGGCTGTCCACAACTGCTCCCAGCTCCAAAGCTAGCTGAAGCAATTCATATTTCTAACACAGTCTGGATACTTAATATTGATTTTTGAAGCCAACATCATAAATTATCTAGTCCTTGACTAAAACTAAAAGCCTAGAGCGAGAAACATAAAACTGAACAAAACTAACAATTGTACAGAAAAAGTTAAAATGAGATTAGTTTTCATAAAGCTTTCATAAAGCTATCCTGCATCTTTCCTTCCAAAGGCTAAATCTATTTTTCACAGATGTGGTCCCTAATCCTCATATCAATTCTGTGAATAAGAAGTGTGCATTTTGTGCAGGAGTAGAAAGCACAGCAGCCTGGGAGTTGGATTTCAGTCCTGCTTTGCCACTCACTGAGCTGGGTGATATTGAACAAATTACTTAACCTCTTTGGGTCTCAAATGTTTTCATTTATAAAGGACAGTCCTGGCTACCAACTAGTTACTAAAATGTTTTTCAGTTCTAAAACACATTTCTTCCAATACCTTTTTACAGACAAGGGAGTTTGTATCCTTTTCAAATCACTAGAAAAATAAGTGGTTTACTCAGAATATTGAAATGGATATTTATCTTCAACAAGAAAACAAAGTTGTATTTAATCATAGCATAAAAATTGATTATGTAACTAACTCTTCATTATCCATGCCTAAGGAGAGAGAACAGAGATGTGTATAATTAATTTAAAAGAGTAGACAGTCAAGCAAACTACATTCTGACTTTGTTACAAAGACTGTAATTCAATAAAGTTTTTACTAAATTCAACAACAATTATTCATTGAAATTGTGAAGCTACTTCCTCTTGAACAACTAAATCAAATACCAAATTTAGTTTTAGTCACCAACATTTTTGGCTGGCAGTGTTATAAAACAAAAAGTTATCAGTAGAGACCATCTGCAAAAGCAGAACTTGACACTATGAGAGGCAGTGGTTAGGATTCCCTGCCCATATCTGCTGACTATAAACTTGCAATGTCTTAAATACATTTTCGAAGAAAAGGATGAGTATACAAGTGATTTAATAAGGAAGTGCTCTCAGGAAAAAATGTACAAGGGAGTGAGGAGAGGATAATAATTAAACAAGTGTACAATTTCAGGTGAAGTCCTGGACTCACCCTCCTTCACAGGGAGCTCTAGAGTGTGAAGTACAGTGGCAAGTGTGCAGTGCCTTGAGGTGAGAACTAGCCTTCCATAGTCTTGTGTCTCAATCATTGGCTACTTATGAACAAAAGGACATAAAATCCTAGGCACTTCTGGTACTTAGAGTGCCTGGGTAATATATGTGTTCACGGTTCAAAAACACAGGACTTTGGAAAAAATATCAGGTCTCAACTATTAGGCACAAAGCAGAGGGAGATAAGGGATGAATACACCCAACTGGAAAGAGCATCTAGTCTGTGCACTGCCAGCATATACCAGAGACAGTAAGCACTCATTTGTGCATTCATTTGATCAGAAATATTTGACATCTGTTTTGTACCAGGGGAAGGACTAAGCACTTTTATTTAATAATGAAGAAGGCATGCTTTCTAGTCAAAAGAGGCACAAAGCATTACTGAGACAAAAAGCAATGAAGACATAGTCAGCATTCTCAGAAAATTTCTCATTTATTAGGTATGTTAGATAATGAAACATGCAGTATGAATGGTAAAATGCAAATGACAGATGGGCACTGAGGGAAAAACAGCTTTCAGAATATTCAAAATAAAATTACTTGTAAATTCATGTTAAAACTATAGCCAGGCTATGCATTGTGGTACACATCTATAATCCCAATGTGTGGGAGGTTGATGCAGGAGGATCAAGTCTGAGGTCAGTTGAGCTACATAGTAAGACACTGTCTCAAAACATGAAGTTAGCCAGGTTCAGAAGATCAAAGGTCACATGTTCTCTCTCATATGTATAATATAGACCTGATACTAACACAGCAATATTAGAAAAACATGTCAGGATAAGGGAAGGTCACATATAAGAGGGAGAGAGTAAGGAAGTTAAGAAGGTAAATATGGTTGGTGTACTCTCTATACAAAAATGAATACAGAATTTTTACACCTGTTGAAACTACTGTTAGAAGGGGACTAAGGTAGGAAGAAGAAAAATAGAGGAGATGAACCAATTTGAGTTATAATACATATATACATGGAAATATCACAAGGAAACTTTCTATGTAGCTATCTTAAACAAACAAAAATGTTTTTCTTTTCATTTACAAAATCAGAGGACAGGAGGGTAGAACAGGTTCTACCTGGGGAGGTTGGTACCAGTGGGATAGGGGAGGAAGTGGGAAAAGGGTGTGGGAGGGTAAATATAGTACAAATACTGTGTATACAGGTATGTAAATGGAAAAATGATACGTGTTGAAACTATTCAAGGAATGGAGGAAAATGGGGATAAAGGAAAATGTTGGAGGAGGTGAATTTAAGTACGATATATGTGATATATTGTAACAAATTTTGTAAATGCCACAATATGCTCCCACCCAGCATAACAATAAAAAGATTTAATGAAATAAAACACTCACAGCAAAAAAGGTTTCTAAAAAAATATAGCCAGAACTACTAATACTGATGCAGCATGGGTCACTGATTTTATTCTTAGGAAGCATCATTGATTTTGGTAGAAACACAGTCAAGTCTGTCAATAAACTCTACCAGTTAGTCAAGCATTCTGTGGACCTCAACAAGCAAAACACAATTAAGTCAATGTGGTTGTCAAAATTTGATGGAAATAATCCGATGTAAGTGAGAAGATAAAACATATACATGCTAAGCACTGTGTCTTCATTTTCTCATTCCATTTATTGCATGCCTGCTGTGTTCCAGGCATTGTACTAGGGAACAGAAATAGAACAATAAAATTCCTATTGCAAAATGAACAAGACATTTACACTTATTGCTCTTAAGAGGTTCGCAGTATGTGGAAAACAAACAAATAAATCAACAACGAAAACACTGAGAAGTATTACAGTGTACCCTGCCTTTGCACGTACTGCAAAGAATATACAAAGCTAAGACCTATACCTTCTATCCCTCTTGCCCTTTCAAAGACATCCTCCTCCAAATTCTCACCCTTTATTTCCACACCTCCAGTTTATGTTGCCATATTGGATCATTCTCATCAACAAATACTCTGTATTATTGCCTATGTTATAAAAACAAATCTTTTTTCACTACAGTTCCTCCAACTATGGTTTCAACCTGTGCTGTTTGAAAGTTTTCATAGTAAGGATGAACATATAAATTAACACCCAAACCAGAACACCTTTTTTAAGAATGAAAGGCAGAACCTACAACCTGTAGATAGGACATTTGTTATTTATGCTCCTTGTTTCTAATCTCTCTTAAATTTGCTTCAACAAAACTTTTGTTCTACCAAACTGGACCTCATCAAGATTATTAATGACCTCACAATGGCAAATTCAACAGTCAGCTGGATGTTCAACTCACTTAAACCTATCAGCAGCATTTGAATAGTTTATCACTCTCTGTCCTTGAAACACTTTCTTTACGTTGCTTCTCTCACGTTTTCTTCAATCTTACTGACAACTCCATCTCAGTCCCCTGGCTTGTTCCTGCTCATCCTCATCCCAACTGCTTCTCAATGTTAGAGGGTCTCAGGTTTCAACCTGTAGACCTCTATAATTCTGTCTAAACTTAGTCCCTTGACTATAATAACTAGTCTCATTGTCATAAGTATCAATTAGACACCAATGATTTACTCAATAATTCTAGACTTCCAGACTTATTAATTCAACTTCCTTCTTGACATTTCTACTTGGATATCTAATAGGAATTTCAAGCTTAACATTATAAAAGCAAGTTTGTGATAATACACACACACACACACACAAACACACCTGTTCCTAAAACCTTTCCTACCTCAATGTCAATTCCATCCAGCTGTCCAGGCCCAACACCTCAGCATAATCCTTGTATCCCCTCTTTCCCTCACACTCAGCAAATTCTAGTGGCTCTACATTACAAACACTTCCAAAATCCAGCTGCTTCTCACAATCCCAATACTACCACTCTGGCCCAAGCATCCTTCATTTCTTGCCCACAAGATTACTCTACTTTTCTACTGATGTTTCTTCTCCTACACCCTTCAGGCTATTCTCTACACAGCACCAAATCTTTCCTGTTAAAATAAGAATCAAATCATGTCACTCCTCTTTCTTCTTCCACTACCTTCCTGTTTCATTCAGTATAAAAGCTCCAGCTTTTTAAAGCCACCAAAAATACCTACACAAATCTAGTTCTTTTAGCTCTCGGGTTTCCTTTCCTACTACTTTGCTCCACACTAACTGGAATTCACTCATTCACCTGCTTCCTTGCCATTCATCAAACATACCAGATTCTTCATCAAGGCTTTTGAGTTTCCCCCTAGATACCTCTATGGCTCATCCCTTCATCATCTTTAGATACATCCAAATATCTCACTCTTTGAGAAGCCTTCCTACCCTAGTTTTCATCATTCCCCTTCCGTACTTTATTGTTTCCTGAAACACTTAATG